GGGGGGGGAGAAGGTCACAGCAGTTAGGGCAATAGGTGGCAAGGGAATTCACCCAGCATTTGGCTTTGCTTTGGATGCATTACCCAGGGTAATGGAGTTGGGCAGAGATACAGATTGGTTCCATAACACATTATCTCCAGGTATGGCTGATTTCCCCGTTTCCTCTGTGGGAATACCAGTAAACTCCTGTTTTCGCACAGGCCTGCCCCCACCCCACCCCTAATCTGCCAGAACTTGAGTGTGGATAGGAGGTGAAGCCCAGCCCTGATTGCTACATCACAGTCACACACAGGGCTGGAGCCAACCTCTGGGGTGTTGGGAGGGGATTTTGAAGGGATGGACTTTGAGTTCTCGGGGGGCCTTAGTGAACAAGTGGGTAAAAAGCCTAGAGTCCCTGAAGAGAAGGGGAGCTGGGGCCTGGGTATTGAGAGAGGGTGTGGGGTACTAGGAGGTACAACCAGGGAACCCTGTCCCTTCGCTTCTTTCTTCCTCTGCCAACGTTGTCATCACACCCAAGAAAGAAGCCACATTGCCCAGCAGGTCTGGTTTCTTCCTTTGCCACCCACCGTGTGTGCCATTTGTTTAAACTTCTCCCCGGAAGACTTCCTGGATTGATCCCACATGATTCCAATCTCGCCTCCCATTTATTAATCCACAAATATTTATTGAGTGGCTACTTGAGCTCTTGGTGCTAGGATGGACAATATGGACAAGGTATCTGCCCTGTGCAGCTTATGTTCCAGGGGAGAAGACAGGTCACTATCTAATTTAAAAATAAACAAACAACTTCAGAGAATGACAGGTGCTGTATAGAAAACGGGGTGATATGATGCCTGGGAGGGGAAATTTAAATTGAGACCTGAAAAAAATAAACAAAAAGTAAATTAAAAATAAAATTTCAGGGGGAAAAAAAACAGAATTTAGTTGAAGCACTGCCCTTCAGAATATCTTAGGATCCAGAGGCAGGTAACAACAATGTCCCCTGAGGGCCTTTCCCAGCAAGAACCAGTTGACTTTGGAGAGGGAGGCCAGAGCCAAATGACAGCCGGGGTGAGCAGCTGGGATTTTGTTCTTAGACTAATGGAAAAGTTTATGGCTGTCATGGGAGAATGGATTATGAAGACACAAAAGAAAACTGGGGCTTCAGAAGGTTATCGTAGAGGGCCTGGCAGGAGAAAGGGGAGACTGCCTTTTACTGGAGGGTCCCTTCCCCCAGAGGACAGTAGCCTGCTTCACATGTTACTTGGAATTTGAAAGAACTAATTTCAGCCCCTTGGACCAAGAACATCCCAAGAGTCTGGAACCATCTTGGCCACCTCTGCTTCTCCCTCAGTGTCTCAGAGACTGGCTTGAAGAGACCTGAGTTCTGACTGTTCCCCAACCCACCCCCAAGAAAGGGTGCTGTTAGGTGAGGATTGAGTCTCCTCTCTGAGACAGGCTGACGTTCGCCCCCCTGTGGCTGGAAGCCGGTACTGCAAGGCCCTCCGTATCGAATGGAACAGTAAATGACTACCAACCAGTGGCCACAATTTAAATGAAAGGGGCACAAAGCAAAGGAGTAGTTGTGATTTTTCTCCCAGGCAGGTGAATTTGAACAGGTTGCCTTCCCTGAGTCAGTTTGAGTTTCTTTCATTTATTCATCAATTATTTGAGGCCCTGTGCTTAGGTTGGGGCAGCCCAGAAGGAAGACAGGTGTTGTGCCCTTAGAGAACTTTCAATCTGGGAGGGATCACTTAGGCTGGCAGCGGGGTTCGTGTCTTCCTTTTACTCCCTGCTTAATGCAGGGATGTTCAGAGGATGCAGTGGAGGGGACTTCTTAATTGGGGCATGATGTATCAGCCCAATGGGACTCAGATTTTTAACTGCAGACTCTACAGCCCTGTCCCAAGGGCTAATCAGCTTGTGAGAAGCCTGGCCTCAGCCCACACCAAGCACTTCTGCCTCTTTCGTTGGTACAGTAATGGAGTAGAAGTTTTCTACATCCCTCCCTCTCTATCCTGGAAAATCGGTGGCTGTATGATAAGATAATGACTTTGACCCTGTCTCCACTGCATCTCCTTCTGCATTATGAATTCACATGGCCCAGGCATAGTCCCAGGCAGCCCTTGCTCTTATATCCTGCCTTGTGGAACTGTTGTAGGGA